ATTTGTTTCCTATGTTGGGACTCCATCATGTTCCTCAGATCCTCTATTTTTTTTTTTTTATCTGTATCCTCTCTAGATTTAGTAATCATGTCTTGCACTGTGGGCACAATCTCTGCTGTTATCTGATAAATTATTTCTGATTTCATTTTTTCCAGATCCTCTTTTGTTGCTAGTTCAGGGAGTCCAGGTGGTTGAGAATCAGAGTGTTACATCTCGTCTGCCTTTGGGGTTGGTTTAGGTGATCTGGAAGTCTGGTTTTTCGGCTTATTTACCTGTCTTTGCATTTCAGCAGGTCTGTGTGTGTGCTGGTGCCTTAATGGCTCACCTCCTCGGTGCTGGGGCAGCTCTGCCCCTCGGCCTAATTTGTTTTATTATTCTTTATATGCATCTTAGCTGAAAATACCCTGTAAAGAAATTTCACTCTTCAACTAGGACTACTATTTTACTGAAAGTCAAGATAAACACAATTTTCTTTAAACTGTCAGAATTAAGAACTTGGTGCTTACATGCTTTTACTTTATTATTTTGTTTTGAGGTTCTCTCTTTCTCTGGAGAATAAACTGCACTTATGCTTTTATATATTCAGTATGTTCCGATCCACTGCAGTTCTTCTGAAACTATTGTTTTGCCAATGGCAGCCATTTCATTTGGCACTTGTATCTCAGCTCTGATCATGCCAGATGGTATCACAATGGTGGGAGGGTTTTTGGAAATCACACAGAGTCAAGAGACAGAAAGCCAGTGACTGGGGAAGGGGCAGTGTTAGCCTTTTTCTGATAACCTACTTGTGCAGGAATTCACTCCACAAGACCTGTATTAATCCCTTCCAAAGGCAATGCCCTCAACGACCAAACCACCTCTCCCTAGGATTCACCTTATAAGATTCCACCAAATCTTAATGTTGTCACAATGGGGACTAAGCTTGCAGCATATGTCCCTTAGGGGGTGAACCATATCCATACCATAGCATAACTCATATGGTTTTCAAATCACAAATAGGAAGATTTCTCTACTTGTAGGGTGTGACCATGCTCCATTTGAGTGTATTTCTAGCTTCATTTTTCACATTAAGATCTTTGAGGTAGTTCGAATTTATTCTGGTGTATGATATGACCAAAGGACCCAACTTTAAGAACAAAACCTTTTAAGAAAAAACAAATATAAAACTTAATTTCTAAATCATGCAGGCAGATTACTACATACTTGGACCATTTATGACCTGTTCTCTATTTTTCTTTAGGAATATTCTTCCAGAACAAATTTGTAATGCTGAAGAGGATGATGACTCAACTTTGGAACATCTTCACCTTGAAAATAATTATATTAAAACAAGAGATATATCACCCTATGCATTTTCATGCATAAGGTCTTACTCGAGTATTGTTCTTAAACCACAAAACATCAAGTAACTCCAAGTTTTGTTCTGTCATTTATAAGATTTACTCATGTAGTTACAGTAGTATAATCTGTCATTAATGAGAAACATAATCCTGTTATACTCAATATGATTACACTAGTCCCTCTGATTTGCCAGCCCACAGATGAGCACGCAAAGATATACATAAAAGGTATAGTCTTCTAGGAGTTTCAGTGAAAGTCAAAAACACTCAGTTTCCCACCTCTAGAAAGAAGTTACCTCACTAAGATAGGATATCAGGATGCTGAGCTAAACCAAATAAACACATCCTTTACAATTTGCTTGATATCTGCTGTTAGCTAAGAACTCTCCAAGTACCATTAAAAATTATCTATGTTGTAGTTCAAGACCAAAAGCATACAGACAGGAAAAGGCACAATTTATGAATTATTGTTGTTTATTATTATGTCAAAATAGTGATTTATTAAGTACTGGTATAAATATACTTCAGTTATGTTTAGTTAGGCTTGGTTTAGTTCAGTTAGGCTTGGTTCCTTCTATTCACCACATGTGTGAAATCAAAACACTACCACAGTGCTAACTCGCTGGTTTGGATCTTTGTACTGTAGGTACATTGTTAACATTACGGGAAGCTAGCAGAAAGGTTTATATGAATTCCATACTATTTTTGAAACTTCTGTAAGTGCAAAATTATTTTTTAAAAGATAAAAAACAGTATTTTAAGATCATCTTCACTATTCTTCATTCAAGATCAAAATATTATGGAAAGCAGTAGCATGCTAAAAATAAAAATTAATTATTCTTGACTATAATCTTAGTTAAATGTAAATCTAATACACATACTTTAAAAAATATTTTGTTACATTGGTCATAGTTAGCACCTTCTCCTTTGCCCTAATTTGGTGAAATGTATCCTTTTACTCAGTTCAACTGAACATAAAGCTATTAGTGTTTACTATGTACTAGGCCCTACCAAAACTATATATTAAAGTTTTTATTATAATAATGACTTTATCTTTGTATTGCCACAAACATTTGTAAGACACATACATAAACTACATTGACTTCTTTTGTTATTGTTTTGAAAAACACCAAACTTAGAGCTTAAGTTCTTAAGTTCTTGCCCACCTTGGGTAGCTTCTTCTAATTTTTCAGGTTTTAGTATCTGTTAAGTTTTTTAATAGTTTTTTTTATCACCTGGAGAACTTCCCAGCCCCACTTTACAGGGCTGTTTGGAGACCCAGAGAAGGATGTAAAATGTTTGGGAAAATATTGTATACATGATGAGTATAGTTATTATCACTAATAGTTCATGTAAAACTGAGAGAAACCAGCATATTCAAACATGTCTAACAGTTTCATAGGTAATTTCCAAGGTGTGAAAGTTTGGCTTACTCCAGTTGAGTTATTCCTATGCCCTTATTTCTAATCACTTTTTTTCTTTTTCTTATCTTTTTTTTTAGGGTTTTTCAGACAAGGTCTCACTATGGAGTTCAGGCTAGTTTTGAGCTTATTACTTGGTCAAGGATGGCCTCAAATTCTTGGTGATCCTCCTGCCTCAGTCTCCCAAGCATTGGGACTGCAGGCATGCACCACCAAGCTTGGCTGGATTTTTCTTAATATCCAGGATTCTGAGATTTGAACAAGAACAACATATGAAGATGACTGTTAAAATTCATGGGTCAAATACTTACCCCAAGTGATAAGAACAAAATAGAATAGAAAGGGTAGAATCTTATCCCAACAAAAAGTTCAGATTCATAATTAGTTTAAGAATGAATTAGCATCACTAAATTGGGCAAGTTGAATTTGATGCAGGTAAAAATAAGGACATAAGGTTACATATTCATCAAACAATCTTTGTGCAGTCTTTTTGCTGTATAGATATAAATGCATTGACATAAATGCTTTAAGGTCATCTGTGCTATAAACAAAATTAATTCCAAAGGGGACTAAAATTGAATAAAATTAGTCAATGTGATTAGCATTTTGGATGACACAGAGACTGATTATGAACCATTCCTTCATTCCTTATTCAGACTTTACTCAGCTTCATGTCAGATGCTGTTTTAAAGACAGAGCAATAAATAGATCAGATAAAGTCTCTCCTCTCTGGGAAGTCAATAAGCAAGAACGATGAGTAGCAGGCAAGTGCTATGAGTCAGTCAATAGGGAGCACAATGGGCTGAGGCCTTCTCTACCTGGGCCCAAGGACTCCCAGGGAGGATTGGAGTCACCCCAAAGAGCTTGCAAGGACAGCAGGCAATGTTGGTGCGTGTCCAGCATGCACACTGTGAACTGCTGTGCACACCGCTTCCCAATTCTATGAAGGCAGCCAAATCTCTGAAATGGCCAAAAATCAGAATGACCAAGTGAAACTTTGCTCAAATTGAAAGAGTCAATTATTTCAGCTATTTTTATAGTTTTAAAAACATGTCCAGCATGAAACTTGTTCAGCCTTAAAATTTCATCATGTTCTGGGCAGGATATTTTAATTCCATAAAAACATAATGATAGATGTTTTTACAGCAAACATTCTTCCTGATATATATCTATATACATATTGATATACAGATATATATTGATATATATGTGTATGTACATATATATAAAATGTAATAACAAACAGATGTTCAGTTTGGCCTCATAAATATGCTGTGATTACTAACATACATGTATAGTAAGGAAGTCCTGACCTACCCATATTCTGAATATATTAATGGGGTGTCTTGTCTTTGCATACATGTACAAGGAATGCTAACCATTTTTTAATTTTGAGATTTGTGTTATTACACATATGAATATTTTTAAAGCACTAAGACATGCTACAGGGAGATATATATCTAGCCTAATGTCATAACTTTTTTTTTTTTTGGTACTGGAGATCGAACTTGGGACCTTGCACTTGGAAGACAGGTGGCGGAACCACTAAGCTAAATCCCTGGCCTTAGCCTAATGTCATAAAGAAATAATTATACCATGAACCAGAAGAGCTAGGAGCCCATCTTGTTCTCCAGTGATTGATCAATTATGCAGTCCTTTTACTCCTCTGGGATTTGTTTGATTCAATTAAAAATGTGTTTATAAATGTGATCAGTAGTTTTCACACATGGCTCATTGTGACTTCTGTGTAAGTGATGAGGGAACAAGTACACTTCTCTCTCCAAACCAAATAGCTTTTCTCTTAGCAGAAAGGGTTGCCACATCTGTTTTTTCAGTAATGGCAAACCTTTTAGAGACAAGTGTCCAAACTGCAAGCCAAAACTCACTCATTTATCACAAAGTGACAACACTGCAATTAAATCTGAATACTATGGTTTTAGTTTAGAAAAAACAACTCATACATTAACATCTTTTGTCTTAAAAGAAAAACAACACATGTGCCATAGATTCACCACTGCTGGACTAGGTACTATCTAAATGATATACACACCAGGTTTTACAATCTAAGAACATGCAACCTTCCTCCTTCCCTTTCCCCCAGCTCCACCTACACTCCCAGAGCACCCAACCTGGACAGCTTTATCTTAGGCCTTTAGAGCTCCAGCACAGTGGGGAAGATCAGGCCTGAGATTACTGACCTTCAGACTCCAGGGCTCCTATTGCAGGGAAGGGCACAGTGCTACAGAGCTCCCAGACCTCGCTGTGGAGCAGGCACTGGGGAAGCTTGACTCAGTATGTACAGATGGCACATTAGAGTTACAGAGAGTATGTGGCTGAGTATGGACTTAATGGGCATCTGCTGACTCTAAAGTCTGTACTTTTCTTGCTGGGCCAGGCTGCCACCCTGAGGGTTTGGGTGAAAAGTCTGGGGAACCTGAGAGTGCCACCCAACAAAGGCCTTGAATCTTGGCAACTGCTGCTCAACTGGAAAGCACAGGACCTGGAGTGTGGCAGGTGTTGCTAACACAGGAGTGGAAGATACTCGAAACTTGAGCTGGTATTGTCAAATGGTGGCCACATACATCTTTTTAGAAGTCTTCCTCATTAAGCCAGAGTTAATTACTACTTAAGATGACTACTTTCTTTAAAATGGGGGAACCCCATCCATGTTACACAGCTGACACAAGTCTTAGCTTGGCCTGGCGACGGGATGTAAATCAGCTGAGGGGAGGGAATGAGGGAGCATGAGGCAAGCATGTCTGAGGTCTGGGCTCACTGGTCACCTGGAATCTGGCAGGGCAACAGCAGAAACTAGAGGCAAAGGGAGAGCTACTAAAGAAGAGACCAGATTCAGTGTCAAAACACTCTGGAGGGGAAAGTGTCCCATGAGAGCCATGGTATAAGGAAGGAAAAGAACTACTCACTCCACGATCCAGAGAAAGACTGAGTGGGTACACACAGCACAGATGCGAGGGAGACTCCCAAAGGAACGCAGTGAGAGGCTTTCTGCACACACAAGAGGCACACAGAGGAAAAGTGACCAGAGAGGGCAGCTGCACCAAGTCCCATAATGTTGTTGCAAAGGTGGGGAAAAGAAAGAGGACAACTGGGAGAGGACACGCTGAAACTTGGGTGTCATATCGTAATGACAGCGAGGCACAGGCAAGGACGCCTGCCCAGAGAGGACCCTGCACAGCAGAGCAGCTGACCCTAATTTCAAGGGAGGGGCAAAGCAGCCAAATTAACCAATTTCTATGACTTGAGCATCTGACCTCCTAGAGACAGCTTCTAGACATAGGAGGATCCCTGCCTAGAATTCTGCTCCTCAGAACGCCTGCCCCAGACTCAGCATCCGTGCCATCACCCTGGGAAAAATCTATGTTTGTTAGGTCTGTATTGATTAGCTGGTGTTACTAGTTACATACTATTTCTTTGTGTATATGGGTGTTACACAGTAGCTTAATACGGGAATATTTATCTTGTTTCCCTCCCCACAAAAAAAAGATCATGAAACCTAGGAGGACAGAGATAACGCATTTCTTGAACCCTTGCATTCTCTGCCAAATAAAGTACATGCTAAAATGCTGCTGAAGAGGGCTGGGGATTTAGCTCAGTGATTCCTCCACCTGCCTCACAAGCGAAAGGTCCCCAGTTCACCAAAAAAAAAAAAAAAAAAAAAAAATGCTGCTGAAGAAACAGTTCCATCTCCCTGGTCCCCAGTGTAAACCGTATTGCCTCATGACTTGTTCAAAGTTGCAATTAGCCCCAATCCCAAACAAAACAGAGAAAATCTGCAAACTTTAAGAATTTTCAAAGGAAATGTGAGAAACTAAATGGAAAAAGATTATACAACATCATAAAATTAGAAATAATTTAAATAGTTTCTCTTACTAATATTTCCTGACATGGAAAGCAAAAGTATATTTTTTAAACATTTAAGTCATGCTTTGACAAGTGGTAATACTTTGTAATCAATCTGGTTGTTTTGTATAATACCATGTATTACTATGTTCCCAAAATGCTGACTTAATGAAATACTCCAATCTGCAGTTTAAGTGAAACCACAAATGGTGGGGTAAACTCTATATGATGTCAATACCAGAGCAGAAAACTTTTTCACAGAAGTAATTATAGATCCAGAGATGACTGAACCAAGATTTTGATCATTCAAAAATATTAAAAGTGCCCATGCCCAGAAGTTTCTGGCCAGCTCTAACCTAACACCAGATGACCATCAGAGGACCTTTAAGCCCTAGAAGTCTGTGAAAGATAGAGATTCTTATTTTGCAGTTAAAAACAAGTACTGTGGCTCTGAGCTAGAATTAATGTTAGCTATGGACCTTGTCAAGTAACTTAGACTCTGAGTTCTAGTTTCCTCATTCACAAAATTGGGGAAACATCTGTGTCCCTTGGCTGACAGAGAAAACAGTCAAAGTGATATCTTCAGAAAGTTCTGGACATGGGCAGGCATTAAATAAAGGTAAATATCAATGTTTATCTTGATAAAACTTCAGAAAACTGACATGCAGGGAGATATGGGACTTGTTCAAGCCTTCTAGGTCTCTGTTTTTACAGAATTTGATTTTTGAAACAGGGGTCATGCTATCTTGCCTGGGCTGGTCT